TGGATTGTTATCATAACACACGCATAAATTAAATTACTGTAAAATTAGTGTGACTTCTGTTGCTGCAGGTTAGATGACAAATAATTTATGTCACGCTTGTACGATGTTACTTTTAGCAAAATGCATGCTGAACTGGATTCATCTGTCAAACGGTTTCTAACCGAGTTTTAATGTTATTCATCTCTGAAAATGATGACTCGCAGGCATAGGTAGGTGAAAATATTGTTAAAATAGCATGAGCCAGCTTCTTCAAACAGTTTTATGATCGACGACGTGCCATAAATATATTGTCGCGTGCCGTCAATGGCACGCGTGCCATTGGTTACCCTACCCTCATATAGGAGATATACAAAAACAATTTACTTTACAATTTGTTGTTTCTTAATGATTTTCAACGATAACCTTGTTGTTATACACCCAAAAATTAGTTTTTCGACTTTCATTGTTTCGATAACTTATTGACAAACATTTAATCGAATTAGGTGTTATTTTGCGGAAGTCCATTTCACTACTCGATGGATTTACATTATTTTGTTTAATTCCGCTACAAATAGACTGATTGTGAGGCTACAAATAGTGTGGAAACTTGACTCTTCAAGTCGCGGTTTGGTCGCCGAAGAGTCAACACTAGGCTTCCGAGCTGTACCTGAACTCTATTCAACGCCTGATGATGCCTCGTTCAGAGGCGAAACACGTGTCGCGATATCGGTGTAGACTCAATAATAGTCGGAATTTGATCGCCACTAGAGGTTGTAACGCTAGTCAAGTTTCCACACCGAATATCTGTAGTCACACATGCTAATTGTAACGGAATTAAACAAAATAATAGAAATCCATCAAGAAAAACATCAATTTATTTAAATGGAAAATGCTCCAGATATTAACATCCTGATGTTTATTCCACATTCTACGAGGCTGTACGAAATAATTTTAAAGGCATACCTATCATTAATTACAAGGTAACGTATGTATATATAAATAAGTAGAGTGTCGTTGAGCAATGGAATGCGGTTCGTAACGCCTTGTCTATAACTGCCGTACTTAGGGAGAAGTGAGGTCATTTTTTCTTCACTGAATATCAATTAGAGTTATAATTAAGATTTTGTACCATAATTGATTTAAGGTTACGATTTTAATACCAATTAAATCTCGGTCTGATTAAAGGTCTGATTATGGTAATGTAAACATTTTGGAGAATTAATTTTCGGGTGTTTTTCTTAATGTTTCTAGAAGGATATACCCTATGGTTTCTTAAAGGTCGGCAACGCGCACGTGACACCCCTGGTGTATCAGGCGTCCATAGGCTACGGTAACCATTTACCATCAGATGGGCCGTATGCTTGTCTGCCACCATAGTAGTATAAAAAAACATAGACACCTACATAAGTACGTAATGTAAATAAACTGGCTTTTAAAAAAATAGAAATTCAGTCCAGTTAGTTATCAGTTTTTTTCTATTGAATCTGTATACTGAACTGGACGGTAAGGGAAAAATATTAATATAAAAAACTTGACGTTCATAATACGCGTCTAAAATGTCCTCTAAGACTAAATTAATATTGATTTGAATAATAATAATAAGTTCTAAACACATGCCGTACTGTCAGAAAATTTCTACACACAGATTAGGCCAACATTTATATTATAGTATATTCACCTAAAAATAGAACATTGTTATGTACTTGGCTTAGGCCCGTATATACCAAGATTACCGGCGAAAGTCGAGAGAAAAAAAAATAATTTTCAGGACAATTCACACAGCGCCAACTATACCCAAGTTAAGCTAGCTAAAGCTTGTGTTATGAGTACTAGATAACTGATACATATACATATTTTTTTTTTGTAAATATATACATATTATACATAGAAAACATCCAGACCGATTCAAACAATCGTACTCATGAATAGAAATGTTTGTGCCGTGCGAGGAAGAGAACCCGAGACCATCGGTCGTAAAGCGGTCTGCTAGATTGCTAGGCAACCGAGGTCTATTTGAATAGTAATATTCTCGACTATAGACGGCGCTCTGGTGCGCGAGAAGTGCATTTACTTTTTTTATTTACGATAGTTTTTGTAATTGTTGTTTTAAAGACAGATTCATCACATCTAAACCCGTGTTTTAATTATTACTAATGTCGGAAGCTAAATATTTGCATCATTATCGACTTAGACTTCTATTTTAAAGATAAAACAATAATAATAATAATCCGGGACAATTCATACAACACCATGTAGTACCAAGCTAAGCAGAAATTGTGTTAAGGACACCAGATAACTGATATAAATATATAGATTTTTTTTCATAAAAACATACATGATATAGAAGGTAAGTAGGAAAGGGCAGAGGAAGGCCAAAAAAGAGATGGATGAATTGTGTGAAAGATAATATGGCCATAAAGGGAGAACATAACGAGATAACTGCGAACAGGGATGAATATAAGAGAAAAACATATTACGCCGACCACAAATAAAAGGAATAAAAAAGAAGCATATGATGATATACATATATACATAGAAAACACTCAGACTGATAATAACAATCATACTCATGAATACAAATATATATATCTTGTGAGGAATCGAATCCGCGATCATTGTAACGCAATTTGCTAAACCGGTAGACCACCAAGGTTGTCAAATAATCCACATAAATTTACTAAAAAAGAATTTGTAACAATGCAAACTATTAAATTTGTTGCAACAACCAATTTGCAGATTGTTCATAGATATATAGATATAAATAGAATTTCGTGTCTATTACACAATCCAAGGAAACTCAATCACGAGAACTATTTTAAGAAAGGCTGCACTTTGTTATTGCAGTCAATGGCGATAACTGCATCAAGCCATAATAATAATCTCAGGACAATTCACACAGCCCCATCTAGACCCAAGTTAAGCTAGCTAAAGCATGTATTATGGGTACTAGACAACGGACACAAATACATAGTAATACGGTTGAGTGCAATGATGGCTGGCTCATCCGTCATACTCGTGAACGGGTGCTGTTTGTGATATTTGGTCTGTTTCGATTACGATCACTGATTAGACTATTTGCTTTAGCAATAGCATATGCTGGTGGTCACTCTATTCTCCCATATATGAATTTAAAAATGAATCTGTATTATAGCAACATTTATTTGAAAAGAATACAAGCTGAGTTTCTTGTCAGTTCTTCTCATCTCGAAATCATTAGACGGTAGATTTGACATATCATAAGAGTCTGTAATAGACCTACATGAACAAAAATATTTTGAATTTGAATTTGAATAGATATATTTTTCGTAAATATATACATAATATACGTAGAGAACACTCAGACCGATACAAACAATCATACTCATGACTACAAATGGTGGTACCGTGCCAGGAATCGAACCCTAGACCACCGAGCCCGTCAACCAAAATAAAATTGTCCAGGGCTGTATTTATTATTTTTTTGTAAAAAAAAAACTTCAAATACGTGCGGCCGATGTCGCGTGTAACACTAGTTTGAAAATAAGACCTTAACATGTATTGTTGTTGTTTTGTTGTGAAAGCATACCGGAATTCAGAGCTGCCAAGTTCAATCGCGTGCCGCTTGCGCGCGCGCCGAATTCTGGGCAATATAACATTTACGAAATCGATTTCGCAACACAATCTCAAGATCAAGGTCGAGTTGTTTTTTATTAACATCTCCATACTTTTTCTTTTTCTTTACTATGTAATATTAACTGTGGTTTTATGTAAGCGAATTTCTTAGAGCGGAATAAATTATGTATCATAATCGTTACATAGTATAAAATAAAGTCGCTGTCGCTGTCTGTCAGTCCCTATGTATGCTTAAATATTTAAAACTACGCAATGGATTTTGAAGCGTTTTTTTTAATAGATAGAGTGATTCTAGAGGAAGGTTTATATTTATATATATACACCCGGGCGATGTCAGGGCGTGTAGCTAGTAATATTATACGCATGATAGGTGAGTATGGATAGGTGTTTGTTACTCCTTCACGTACAAAGTACTGAACGGATTTTGATGAAACTTTATAGTAATATCTATAGCTTATATATCAGAACAATACACAGGCTATACTTTAAAAAGATATTATGTAAATTGAGTAACTGTGATACAGATGAAGTTGTGCTGGTCAGAATAGAATAGTATACTTTCTGAACTAAGTTGTATTTTTACTTGGTTTTTATACTATATGTGGATTTTGCCTATGTAACAAAAACTGCATGTATATAAATTTACCTTATCATTATTATTTCCAATAAAACGAGTTTTGAGAGTCCGGCATCGACTCCGTGACTGATCGTTCCCTGGGGTTGTCGCCAGGAACTAGGTTTACGATGTTGTGTGCGAGTGTTGTACAAAAATAAAAAACTTTATTTACATTTAAATTTTTATTTTATTATCCACAAAGTACAAACTTTCAAATCAAATCAAAATATCTTTATTATATAGTCTAACCTGTAATAGATCAACAGCTATTACAGGCTCTTATGATATGTTAAAAACTACCGTCAGTTAGGAGAGCAATCGAACTAAGAAGAACTGACAAGAAACTCAGCTCTTATTCAAACAGACAAACAATACAGATTCATTTGAATCAATTTAAATCAAAATTAGCAGAATAGAATGACAACCAGCATATTGTATATATATATACAGCATAACTATTACAATTTTGTGAAAAGAAAATAGAGGCCTATACTTAATCTGAATCTTTCTGAACGTTGTGTAAATTCTCCAGAGTTATTTGTGTAAACTCTTCAGAGTTATTTGTGTAAATTCTCCAGTGGTATTTGTGTAAATTCTCCAGTATTGTCTGTGTATTTTCTCCAGTGTTATTTGTGCAAATTCTCCGGAGTTATTTCTGTAAATTATCCAGAGTTATTTGTGTAAATTCTCCAGTGTTATTTGTGTAAATTCTCCAGAGTTATTTGTGTACATTCTCCAGAGTTATTTGTACAAATTCTCCAGTGATATTTACATGTTGTTTATCTAATTCCAGACCGTGATATTTTGCTCAGCATGGCTGCTGGTATCCTGCCAGCAGGGTCCCACCACGACCCCTGTACCGATCCTGAAGCAGATCAACAAACAGAACGACGACGGGTCCTACAGCTACGGTTACGAAGCCGCTGATGGATCCTTCAAGATCGAAACCAAGTACCCAAATGGAGACGTCGCCGGGAAGTACGGATATGTCGATGAAAGCGGGAAGCTGCGTGAGATCTCCTATGGAGCGAGCAGTAAGAGAGGATTTGAGCCACAAGGTAAGATAATCACACAAATTTAGCAGTTTTTTATATCATCATCATCATCAGCTCACTGCAGTCCACTGCTGGACATAGACCTCTCTCAAGAATAGAAGGAGTGTGTCCATAATCGCCGCGCTGTTATTTTTAATTATTTTACGGAAGTCCATTTCAATACTTAAGGGATTTATATTATTTTGTTTGTAGCAGAATTAAACAAAGTCAAATATAAATTCATTAAGTAGCGAAACGACACGGCATTGAAGTGTAAGCATGGTGAAATACGCACAGCTACCTGCACTAACGGCTCTACAACTCGTTCATTATTGAATGAAACATTTAAATAAAACAGCACGCGCCATTTACAAAACGTATTGCGTAATTACAATAGAAAAAACTTGCTTGCCTGCAGGGCGGTATAGGTACGAGCTTAACTTGTTGTAACTTGTAACTTTAAAGTAATTGTACAACCCAACACTAAACTCTGGACTACTACCGCGTCCTCTGGTGATATAAATAAATAAAACAACCAAAGATGTTGGATTGTTGAACTAAAAAATTGTTTATTTCTAAAAAATAAATGGCGTACATATGTCCATAGTAACAAACCGGAACAATATCGCCGTCTACTTTTAACACAGCTCCATCTAGTATGTAGCTCGAGTACTAAAGCCTCTATATAAAATAACAAACTTTACAGTAATTATAATGCACCTATATATAATAATTCGTTTTTTAATAATTAGCTGACGTAGTGATCTATCAACGCACAGCCCAAACCATTGGACGGTTCGGGTTGAAATTTGGCATGCAGGTAGATGTTATGATGTAGGCATCCGCTAAGAAAGGATTTTGATTAATTCTACCCCCAAAGGGATAAAATAGGGGATGAAAATTTATATGAAACTTTGTCAATTTTAAACCGATCGGGCTGAGACTTTGCATGCATAAAGCCTATGAGATAAATTTTGATAAATTCTCTCCCTAAGGGGATAAATTAACGCGAGCGAAGCCGCGGGCAAAAGCTAGTATATATATCTTATATATAAAATTCTCGTGTCACAGTTTTCGTTCCCATACTCCTCCGAAACGGCTTGACCGATTCTCATGAAATTTTGTGAGCGTATTGAGTAGGTCTGAGAATCGGCCAACATCTATTTTTCATCCCCCTAATTTTTTATTTTTATTTGAAGGCAAAACAACGTCTGCCGGGACAGCTAGTATAAATATATATATATATATAGGTATTAGCAATGTTTGTACAGATTGCACCTTTCGACACTGACCCTACAAGTGGTCAAACATTAATCATTACTAAACATACACTACTTTAGAACTGGGGCACGTTACGACAGTTTTTATATGAGCCCCGCTAATTCCCATGAGTCGATGTTGGGAAATCGAGTCGGAAATGTCGATATAATCGATACTAGTAAGTTTAGATGGCACAACTACATGTAATCGAATCGAGTAACTAGTCTTTTTTATTATAATGTACTTTTAATAAATACAATAATAATAAAATATATCTAATAATAATAAAATAATAATTATTTATTTACATAACTTATTTGTACAACTATGAACCTAAAATTAAAGAGCTTAAAAAGTATTATATAATAACTAAAATATATTATTAAAAGGAGTCCCTTTTGGCAAAGTTAATAATAATAATCTCATGACAATTCACACAGCGCCATCTAGATCCAAGTTAAGCTAGCTAAAGCTTGTGTTATGGTTACTAGACAACTGATACAAATACATAGACATTTTTTTCGTAAATACATACATATTATATATAGAAAATACCCAGAGCTATACAAACAATCATACTTATGAATGTAAATGTTTGTATTTGTGACCGCAACTTAATTTATTTCCGTTTAAAAAACCTTCCCAACATCTAGACGTCCTCGAAACTAAACAAAACGTACTATATAGTGTTATAATTTATTAAGAGGTAAAGTTTATTTATTTATTGTTTTGCACACGAAATTGTAAAGATGGCGGACTTAATGCCTGATGGCATTCTCTACCAGTCAACAGTCGCGTTGATCAGATATGGTATGACGGTGCATTTTAATAAAAAAAATACACAAATCCTTAGCATATCTTATATGTGTATTCTTGACCATCATAAAAAATTTAAAAACTTTGCCAAATGATAAATAGCTAATTTTTTTATTGCAATTGTTGTTGTAAATATTATCATTACATAGTATAAAACAAAGTCGCTGTCGCTGTCTCTCCCTATGTATGCTTAAATCTTTAAAACTACACAACAGATTTTGAAGCGTATCTTTTTAATGGATAGAGTGATTCAAGAGGAAGGTTTATATATATAATACATGTACACCGCGAAGCCGGGGCAAGTAGCTAGTATACAAATAAATAAACAATATATATTTACGTAAATCGACTAAACTTTGTGAGTTTTGTGAAGCTGTTTGTGGGGTTGTAATCTCTGGATCTACTAAATTGATTTGGAAAATTCTTTTACTGTTGAATAGCTCATTTATCGAGAAATGTTGTAGGCTATATAATATCACGATACGATCAATAGGAGAGGAGCTGTAGTGAAAAATATAGCAAAAAGTAACACAGGATACATCCTGACCGATGGCAGTCATTCTGTCAAAAGTAAATTAAGGATGATAAGCAGTGGATACTGGGAATATACTCGTATATTTGGAACAGGTGTACCACAACAAAAAAATTCGAAAATCGAATGTACCAACCTTGCCCGCAAAATTTGAAAAGCACCTTACTTTTTGAACAAACTATGTATATATAAAAAAAAAAGTATAAATATGTATAAACATACAACATTGTCAAAGAGAAGAGGTACGAAGGTAAGAGGTTACACCGCCATACTATCTCTGATCAACGCGACTGTTGACTGGTAGACAATGCCATCAGGCAACTTAATAAGTCCGCCATCTTTACATTTTTGTGTGCAAAAGAATAAATAAATAAATAAGAGGTAACAATGGACGGCCATTTCGCTGAAAAGCGACTTCTTCCAGGCAACCTTAAGTATACCTACATATAACCCCTCCTATCGATCCCCCGTCCAATTCAAACGGGGATCGATTTTACGGCCTAAACCGAGGTTCGAACCCCAAGCGGTGCCCTCAAACTAAAGTCGTATCCGTGCTGCAATTAGCCTTCTTCCGCTCCATAAGTCCTTCCTTGGTTTGGAGTGCCATCTGCACTCCCTATCGTCCGGTGAAGCCGTAAAGGCCAGCTGCGGCCAGCATTAGAGTAGTCCGAAAAAAAAACCTACATATATAAAAAATAACAGTTTTACTAATTGTACATAACCGAAATAGTTACGTGTAGGTGTTATCAGGGCGTGAAGGTCGATGGTGACCGTTGTTGCATCATTTACCGAATTTGCAGTTTAGATAGCACGCCACTTTTGTTTTATTCTAACAATATTTTGCAATATTGTATAAATTAAACTTTGCTCAACTATTAATTGTTGTTAATTGAATTAACCGGAAGTTATATTTATTTTAACTACATATTAGTCATAAACTGGCAGTTAACAGTCACTGATACAGAGCTATGACTTCGATTGACTTTTATGTGCAATATGCAATTTCATGGGAATCTGTGCAGTGGTTTTATACATATAAATATTAAATACCAATTTTGTACTAGGAAACATTTGATTTTAATTTAAAATCCAGCAAATATCATTTTTGTTTTTAATTTTAAAAAGTTTTTTTTTGGTTTAATTAAAAACGTAACGTCAATAATACACAGACTACTAAAAAGTCTTCCATCTATAGAAAGTTGTTATATATTAAACATTAAGATCATGTGCCTGATTTTTTTTAATATAACAGAATAGAATAGAATATAAACAGACACTACAGAATATAAATTAATTTATTCCAAAAATAATTGATCTACACGGGAGATACATGTAGAGCGCGAGTCTGAACGAGTTGCTAATAAAAAATTATTCAAAAGAGGTTTATTGTTCACAAGAAATAAAAAAAAATTGTGTATTAAAGTAAACTTCATCCCCAATTTCAATGTTTTGGGATTGTAACAATATTTAGCTAGCTGACCTGCGCGACTTCGTCTCCATCATAGTTATAATTATATATCGCCCAATTTACATAATATCTTTTTAGATTATAGTCTTTGTGTTATTCTGATGTATAAGCTATGTTACGGTAAAGTTTCATCTAAAACCGTTCAGTACTTTTTGCGTGTAATTAGAATAGAATAGAATAGAAAATAATTTATTCAAATAAACTTACTCTGAAGCATTTTTGAATAGTCATTACATTTTTTTATCTACCGCTCATTCGGAAAGCTGTCTCATCACAAGAAAAACGAGCAAGAAACTTGCGTGTTGCTCTTTTAAATAATTTTATTATTACTTTACATTTTTAAGTTTAAGTGTGTGAATACAAACCACCAATTAGCACTAATTCTATTAAATACTCAAATAGAAAAAATATTGAATATATAACCAACTGGTTAAACAATTAATAAGAGGAAATCAGTCATAGTGATTAGAGCAGACCAGTCCCTACAAGCAGCACCCGTTCACGAGTATGACGGATGAGCTAGCCATCACTGCGCTCAACCATATTTTAGGGAGCCCAATGACCCGGCCCACCACGTCGCCACAAGTCTGGACATTTTAGTGAGCATGACTACTCAAAACATATTACAATCACAATTATAACAGACATCCATCCATACTCACAAACTTTTGTGCATTTATATTCTTAGTAAGATTAAATTTCGAGTCTTTCGAGAAATTTTGAGCAGCAATGAGATTTCAACAGATAAATATGTTTTCAGGTGCCGGCATCATGGTCCCACCACCTACCCTCAACGACCAAAACACCAACGCGTTAACTGACGGCCAAGAAGACGATGGACAGTACCGAGAGGACCCCAAGATATATGAAGACCCTAAATACAACGGCAAGACTCAATCCAGACCCGCTCTCAGACAATACCACCGTCCTGCCCAGCCTGAACCTCAGTACCAGCAATATCAATCTGAACCTGCTTACCAACAGCCAGCGTACCAACCTCAAACCTCGTACCGCTCCAGTCCTCTCTACACGCAGCAGACTTCAGTCTTTAATCAGCAACCGCAGTACAATCAGGAAGTCCGGCCTCAGAGCCAGATCTATCACCAACAACCCCAGTTCTCGTACCGCGCGTACACCGGACAACCCTATCAGAATCAGTATCAACAGCAAAGTTACAACCCTCAGAACTTCAACCCGTTCCTCGGCCATCCCGCTCAGAACTTCGACCCCAACACCGGTTCTTATACGATTAACTTCACAGGTTGAAATGTACAGTTAGATGTTTTTGTTTTTTATAAAATTATATTATTTTGTACAGCTACTATTGGGTGGTATATCCATAAAGCGAACGAATTGATTACGATGTTTTTTTATAAAGATTTTTGTACATATTATTGTAATAGATATTATTACTTTAGTGCTAGTCAATTCTGTGGAATTTTGTATACTTTTAAAAATGTAAGCTTTAATTATTATTTATCTTTTATATACTTTTAAACTCATGAATAATAGGATTATGTTAATAAGAAATTCATATCTTAATTATGAATATATTGCATGTCACACAATGTATCTATATACATAAAAATTGATGTTTACTTAGGTATGTTGTACATATATTAAGAAATATATTCATTCCAAAGGTATTGTAACATAATCGTATTGTTTCAATAAATATATACATGAAATTAAGATGATTTATGTATTATTTTCTTTATATGCCTCTTTAATTAATTAAACAATTCAGATTTATAAACATACTAGATACTCGCCCCGGCTTCGCACGGGTGTACATGTATTATATATGTAAAGTTTCCTCTTGAATCACTATCTATTAAAAAACCGCTACAAAATCCGTTGCGTAGTTTTAAAGATTTAAACATACATAGGGACGGACAGACAGCGACAGATATATTTTATACTATGTAATGATATTTCCACAATGTTATACCATAAACAAACTGATGAATATAGACAATATACAAAAATCGAAATATATATAAAAAATATCATAGAACAACATATTTATAATTTTAGTGGTAGAAATTCATGCATAATTAATGTAACATTCAATAAGACCATAGACAAATAACATTAATCTATTCTCAATTTGACCACAGACAAAAGAGTATGTATATATCCGTATGTCAAATACATGGTAATCTGTGTAATATTTTTTTTATTGATTTAATGTATTTTTATACATAATTAAAAGATATATCATTCTGCACTCCTTTTCTATATATCTCAATATATATAGACTGACATAGTGATTTATCAACGCACAGCCCAAACCACTGGACGGATCGGGCTGAAATTTGGCATGCAGGTAGATGTTATGACTTAGGCATTCGCTAAGAAAGTATTTTGATTATTTCTACCCCCAAAGGGATAAAATAGGGGTTGAAAGTTTATATGAAACTTTGTCAATTTTAAACCGATCGGGCTGAAACTTTGCATGCATAAAGCCACTATGACGTAGGCATCCCCTAAGAAAGGATTTTGATAATATCCATCCCCAAGGGGATAAATTAACGCGAGCGAAGCCGCAGGCAAAAAACTAGTCTTTCTTATAAATTTCATAGTCCGTCCGCGAAATTATCGTACAAAGTTTTTGCCTCACGTATTATATTTATATATAAAAATTACGTGTCACGTTGTTTGTCCGCGATGGACTTCTAAACTACTGAACCGATTGTTAATTTGATTTCCACATTGTGTACAATTTGATCCAACTTGAAAGATATCTTATATCCCAATTTATAGTCGCAATATTATTTTATTCAAGAACTTTAGCCACATCAACGTGCGGCCGGGCCTAGATAGTAGATTATAGATAAGACATTCTAATAGCAACATTATTATATCAATCACATAAAAAAATATCTATTTATTGATCTGTTTATGTAACAAACAACCATTGATCTGTAATAGATACATCGAGGACTGCGCACGCGCAGGTTACAAAATATCGATGTGACTAGACACTTAAATGCGAAATAATACGTGAACAGAGTGTAAATAATAAATAAAGATTATATAAATAACGAGTGTTTGTTTTCCTATTCCGATCAAGTGAAAGTGTTACAAATAAATTGAGTTACATAGTTAAATCCCATAACCTACTTAGTATAGGTTACTTAACTAAGTAAATGTGGGGTGAAAGGGATTGTTAGTAATGTGGAATGATGATCTTGTTGCTAGCAATATACCATGTCAGGTTGACCTCCACGCGGTTCCCCCTGGAAACCATCGTGATAAATTCTTGGTGAATTTGTCACGATGGGCTAACTGACCTGACCTTATGCTCATCTTATCATCCTCCACTAGTTTTTTTTTCACGTTGCACCCGCCTGCGCTAACGGTTTACGCTGGCCATCTTATCATCCTCCACTGGTGGGGCACCAGTGGAGGATGATAAGATGAATATGAGGTCAGATCAGTTAGCCCATCGTGACAAATTCACCAGGAATTTATCACGATGGTTTCCAGGGGGAACCGCGTGGAGGTCAACCTGGCATGGTACATTGCTAGCAATGAGATCATCAGTTCACATTACTAACAATCCCCTTTCCCCCCCATCCTCCACTATTACCCCGCCGGCGCAGGCGGGGGCGGCATTCCATTGTCATCTATATAAAAACTGGGTAAATGTTCCTACATTTACCCAAATCCTTCCTAGGAGAGATTTGGAAGTGTTGTGAAGTTAACCCATTACTAGCAGTTGTCGTAATAAATGTCTGGTGAAGTTACTATATTATTTATATACAGCAACGGCGGATCCAGGGGGAGGTCATGGGGGTCATGACCCCCCCTGAGCCCAGGACTTAAGTGGACCACTAATTGAACATAATAATTTTATTTATATATTTTGTCACCATACAGATTTTATGTAACAATATACCTTCAATATTTAATTAATTATATTTAAATATTGCTTCTCTGGATGTCTTCAAGAGAAGATGGCAACATTTACGTGTATATGTACAAGTTATGTGTTTAATTAAATTATAAGTTCTTGACTTGACCACGACTATATGACCCTCTCCTGGCCCCAAAGCTGAATCCGACTTATACAGAACAAATATTTACTGATACGATGGTACTGGCATTATCATATTATAAAAAAAAAAGTCCATAAATAAATGTAAGATTAAAAAGAAAAAGCGAACAAATATTTTTTTTTATATTTATGTTTGACAAATTTTTTTTATTTCTTTTATTCCCATTCTATTGTCCTCAAAGTAGGTCAGACTGTATCTAGGGGGCTAGGAGCACGCATTCCTAATATACGTATGTAGAATGTGTGCACTACAGTTAACTATAATATTACCTCAAGACAATTTACACAGCATCATCTAGTCTCATGGTAGAGTTTGTGTTATGGGCACTAGACAACTGATGTACATAGATATATTATTTTTAGTAAATACATACATAATGTACATGGAAGGGTGGAGGGTATTATTGGTAATGTGGACTAGTAACCCCATTGCTAGAAATTTACCATGTCAGATTGACCTCCACGTGGTTACTCCTGGAAACCATCGTGTTAAAATCGTGGTGAATTTACCACGATGGGCTAACTGATCTGACTTCATGCTCATCTTATCATCCATAAAATAAATATATATAGAAAATACTAAACCGATACAAACAATCAGACTCATTAATACAATTTTTTAACCTGTTGACTAAATATTAATAAAGAAAAAGGGTTGTAAGGGAACAAAAGGGGATGAAAAATTCTATGTAAGTATCGTCATTTTTATAACTAGAAGGATAAAAAACATATTTGGCTTTTATAGGATTAGATAGAATAGAATAGAATAGAAAATCATTTATTCAAATAAACTTACATTGAAGCACTTTTGAATAGTCATAACATTTTTTTTTTAAATATACCGCTCATTTGGAATGCTGTCTCATCACAAGAAGAACAAGCAAGAAACTTGTGTGTTTCTTGATATTAAATGTATTATCATTATTTGGTCAAGGACACTATTTTATGCGGACGAAGTCACGGGTACAGCTAGTATTTCATGTTTTAAAACTTTATAATAACGCCTGATGGTCAGTCATAGCTATTTCACTAAACGGCTAAATTATGAAACAAAACATATCATGACTTAGTATAAAATAAAGTCGCTGTCGCTGTCTGTCCCTATGTATGCTTAAATCTTTAAAACTACGCAACGGATTTTGAAGCGGCTTTTAATAGATAGAGTGATTAGAGAGGAAGGTTTAAATGTATAATACATGTACACCCGTACGAAACCGGAGCAAGTAGCTAGACAAATAATAATTCGTTTCATTAAAAAATATTTTTACGTGTACAGGTCGCGTAAAATCTACTAAAATCGCAATATTATTATTAAGGATAACTAAGAAAGTGCTGATCAAATTGTATTAATGTTTAAATAATACCAGATGGGAAACTCTGCCTTCAAATGGCGAGCGTGCATGGCCATAGTTGTTCATGCACGGGATTTTCATTTAATGTTAGACATAGACACCTATATGAGTAAACATTGTAAAGAAAATAGTTAAAAAAAAAAAGGAAATTGAATTGAGTTTCTTGCCAGTTCTTCTCAATTGAATCAGTATATTGAACTGGACGGTAGGGGAAGTATAATACAAAAAAGGTGATGTTCATAACCGGATGAAATGTCCTACATGAATAAATGATTTTTTAATCTGAATTGGATATATAAAAGAAAATTACAATCGGTTAACGTGTAAAACTACACATACAAAAATACAGTCTTGTTCTATACATTCAGTTACCAGTATGTGCACATACAAAAATACAGTCGAATTGAAAAATCGTCCTTTTTTAAAGACGGTTAAATAAACGTAATGAACTTGCAACTACTTTATAAATATACAAAATTACATATATTTTTATGTTCATAAATAATAGCTGTAGATTCAGTGCAAAACTTGTTATTATATTTAAAATTACTTATACTTTTCTTGGTCATACTTATGTTTTAACAAAAATAATGAACAGAAATCAGTAAATAATTTAACTATAATTATTAACGTTATTTAATAAGATCAAATTATCTTTGAACGGAAATACGGTGGGCGGTGATCTGTATCCGGTTTGGCAGTGGCCGGCCTTACAGCGAGAGGTTTATGTCAAAAGGAGCCAATAAGCTTCACTCTCTTTGCAAAAACGTGTTTTTTAATCTATATTTTTTTTATTTATTCAAAATCTTCATTTATGTTAAAAGGACCCAACAAGCTTCACTTTGCAAAAACATGTCTTTTAATTTATATTTTTTATTCATTCAAAATTTTTATTTATAT